TAATGCAAGCTTAATCAAGTAATCGTATGGCGTTGGATTGATACTTAGCGTTGGTGAAGTCCTAGAGGACAATTGTATTCATGAGCAACCACATGGAGGTAAATCTCTCCATACCCACGGGGTGAACAACGCATGAAGCAGGTGAAGTGGGGACCTGGAACATCAGAGGTAGATTGGAAAGTGGAAAAGTCAATAGCCGGGGAGGGAAGAAGACACCGAAGATACCAAAACTTTTGGACTTCTTAGTGCGCTCTAATCATAAAACTGAATGGTTTTTTTTTTTAAAAATTTGAAAAACATGTAGTGGGAATGCTGAGGTGGCACATTTACCGAGTTGGAAGGCTGCATGTTTTAGATAAATAAGATAGTGAGGGTGAACTTTTTAAGTATATAGGATTACAGTGAACAAACAGAATAAAATAAACGAAAAATAGAGGTCCCACCGAGACTTGAACTCGGGTTACTGGATTCAGAGTCCAATGTCCTAACCACTAGACCATGGGACCTTCGATGTCTTCAAACTCTTTTTACTTTATTTATCTGATTCCTATATACGGAAATATATTGGCTTCGCCCAGTCCTCTAAACGATCGGAGCTACGGCTGCCCCGCGGTCGCGGGAAGTGCTCGGGTGCCATCCGAGGCTAGCTCCGGCGGCCGGAACACATACCTCTACGTACATACATCGGAGGCAGCGTGCTCTGTTGTTGCCTGCGTCTAGCCGGTATCTAGGAAAACAGTTGCCTCCGCAGCTCCGCCCTAGCCATGCCCGCTAGGAGGTCGGCGCCCACCAGCTGTTCGGCGAAATGCGCAGGTGAGACTGCTGCAGCTTCCTGTTTAATTATCTGCCGCTATGCTCTCCTCATGCCATCTTTTGTTTCATCTGTATCTTTTTTCTTTTTGCGGGGGCTGTTTCCTCTGTATCTAGAGCCATTTGTGATCGTTTTTGTTCTGTTGGTAAAACCACTGGCGAAGCCGCATTGCAATCAGTTTTTGTTCTGTTCTGTTGGTAAAATAGCTTGATAACGTTAGGTGATGAATACTCCATTTTTTTCACATTTGAAATTGGGTGTTTGTTTGTGGTTAGTTAGTAGCAATCAGTTTCAATTGCTTTGATATTTATAAATAAGGGTCATGGAACAATTACACAATACACTAGGTTAGTATAACTAGCAAAAGGGCCCGTGCGTTGCAACGGGAGAAAAAAATTCATAATTTCAAATGGTCATGATCACATTTCGTTGCATCACCGAGATACAATATCTCTCTCAATTTCTCGAAATCATGAACATTTTGAAATTATGAACAATTTGTTAAACTCATGCACATATTTGAAATCGCAAACAACATACTATTACAAATTTCTGAACATTTTCTACAATCAAGAACATTTTTTCAATTTATGAATATTTTTTGCTATTTACAAACATTTTTTAAAAATTGTGAACATTTTTAAGCAATTTTCCTGAGCTGGCAAACATTCTATAATCGATGAAAATATTTAGAAATTGGGTGGAATAGTTATTGAATTTGACGAACTTTTTTTGATTTAGCGAACATTTTTGGAAATGTCCGTGCCTTGCAACGGAAAAAAACTATCAAGTTATACATGTGTGGTAGATATAAAAAAGTATGAATCAAATTCACAAAGTATATACAAATCATGTCATGATGCGATAAGACACTTTTAAAATGTAATTTCAAAAATGAACAATATGATGCTCATCAAGACTTGATTTTTTAAGGCGTCACAACAAAATATTTTGTGGCTGAGCAAACTGCATTGACGGACCCTGCCTGAGCTATACTGATAAATAAAGTGTCTCGTCTGGACTTAGCGTAGCGGTGTTTACCATAACCACTATTGTGATATGAAAATAAGCATAACTGTGTATGGAAGCAAAATAGACATTTAGTCATTTTAATATAGCTTACAAAAACAAACCCTTAGAAAGTTATGTCAATTTTGTTGGGTTCAGCGTTGTACAAAACACGGAAACCCTTTTTTACCCAATGCGAAGGACTAAATAAAATCATAAAACGAGCTATATAGATCTCCTAATAAAACCTTTATGGAACCTACAATTAGTTTTGTTCATTATTTACGGATGTGTTTTAATTTTTGTGAACATTTTCTAAAAGCTGATGGACATGATTTTTAAATTCCTGAATATGCTTTGAATATTGGCTCATTTAAAAAAATCATGAACATTTTTTATTTCATGAAATCATTAGAAATCGTGATTTGTTTATAATTTGTGAGCAATTTTTTAAGTCGTGAACATTTTTTGATTTTTAGAATATTTTTTAAATTCACAAACAGTTTACCATTTTCCTACTTTTTTTCAGAACTCGCAATTGTTTGATATTTTGGAAATCCGAAATTAATTTTGAGATAAAAAACCAAAACAGAAATAAAAAAGTAAAAAGAAATAAAAAATAGGGGGCGCCATCAATCCGAAATTTATTTTTAGAGAAAAAACAAAATAGAAATAAAAAAAAGATATAGAAAACAGGGGGCGCCACGACCCGCACATGGGCTGGCCCATTACTGCGCTTGGTAAAAAGAAAGAGAAAAAAGCGTGAGAACCAGGGATCGAACCCTGGTCTCCTGTGTGGAGCATCGTTGCCTCAGCCATCGCGTTGCTCATGCATTGGTGCTATTATATCGTATCCACCTTTAATAACAGAACCCTGGAGCGATATTAGAAATTAAAAACGAATCGTTTTTGCCACTTACGGGTGGCATTGGTGGGTAATTATTGCCAACTTCGAGGGCACTTTTAATGACGTACGGGCAGAAGCACTCCGTGCTTTATTAGTAATAGGGATAGGGATAGGGATAGGGATAGGGATAGGGATAGGGATAGGGAAAGATTAGGCAAACGACTGGCCTATTTTATTTTGATCGTTATTGGCATCGGTATGATGTGCAATCATTTGAGCAAATGCCCAGTTTATCCAAGTGCTCGGGTGCCATCCGAGGCTAGCTCCGGCAGATTATCCAAAACTCGCCCAACAGAAAGGATGGATGAAGCTTCATATGGATAAGGCTCAGGGGATAATAAGAAGTGAAACATCACTTGCTTGGATCACAGCTGTTTCCTGACCTCCAGTAGACATATGTTGCAAAGAATGCGGATGTGAATGAGTCATGCTCCTCAAGTTCTGTCACATCGTTTTTTCAGTCTTTGTGAATGAATAGATGATCTAGTACAGTGATGGCTTTACTGTAGATAGGTGATTTACCCCTTCCAAAATACAGTACTTCCTCCGTTCCTAAATATAAGTCTTTCTAGAGATTTCAATATGGACTACATACGGATGCATATAGACGGAGTTTAGAGTGTAGATTCATTTATTTTGCTCCGTATATAGTCCATATTGGAATCTCTAGAAAGACTTATATTTAGGAACGGAGGGAGTACGTTTTAGACATGGACACTGTCTCAAGGCACTACTTTTACCGATATTTTTCATATGAACATGCTAGTTAAAAAAAGATTATGTAATTATGGATTATACTTCTTGAAAAATGTAATTATTCTTTTACATTCGAATATTTGTTATCTGTATCAATAATCAAGTTAGATAAGTTTGACTAGTGCTCTCTAGGTGTTGTCTATTTGAACGGAGGTAGCATCTGAAAACATGCTTAGCCTAAAAGTCCATTCAACTGTGGTATGCTCTGCTGTTGCCATCAACTTGCTAGGTGACAGTGTGACACCCTAGACTTCTCTAAGATCTTTAAGTTCATGAATATAATTAATACTATGACATGTGAGCCCGCTAAAATTCATCCAAAAATATGACCAACTGTACCTTGCACACACAAAAAACAAGAGCTAAGTGTTCAGTTTAAAATGTCCAACTCTTGTAATTTGTAAGCTGCAAATGTTCAAAGTTGTTGATGAAAATTGCAGTTTCACATGGTATGCTATTCATTATTACACCCATAGTTCTTTTATAAGTTCTGAAAACTTCGGGGTGCTTCAAACAACATGTTGGGCACGCGCAGTCATGCTCATGTAATCCGTGATAGCCAATAAAACACTAGCAAATTGTCCTTGAAGGCGCTACTTCTACTAGAAGTAGATTGTTGTATCTGTCACTCATTAGCTTGTGGTCAAACAAGTAGAATGGTGCTACAAATGCTGGTCAAGGACAACGCCGGTGCCTGATTGCTTCACTTATTTTTTAACTCGTCTGCCCATTCTTCTTAGAATCATTTGGAAGTTTTATACAAATGGAAGTACAAGTTATTGGCTCCACTCATGAAATTTCCTTTGGCTCAGATCTCTTCTTTTTATTTCCTATTGAAGTACATGCTGCTGAAACTTTCCTAGGGAATTATTATGCCACTATTCAAACGCCCCTTAAATGATTATTCCAGCATTTTTTTATGAAATGTTGTTGATTCAACAGCTGATGTGGTCAACAGAATTTTCACTTTAAGACGTGCTACAGAAAAGTAGTACTAATCATATCCAGAGATTTCAAAGCAATTAAGGAACCTACTTTTGGCTGGTCAATGAAGAAAACTGGCTGGTGCCGGTGGGGCCATTGATTTGAAATGTATCTTTTTATATGTAAATATACTGTAGTGAGCAATCGATAGTTAGGAGAAAATCAAGAGTCTTTGGAGAACCTGCATGGTTCTCATTTTTTTGGGCGTGTGACATTGTTATCTCATCTGCTATGCCAGATTGTATACCACTCATCCCCAAGTTCCCAAGTGGCTCTTGTTCACTTCCATTTGCTCCTCACATTCGTTGCTATCTCCCAATCACCTTTTCTTGCTTTAGACCCCCAAAATTTTCTGTTCTTGCTTGCCTCACCTTCATCCTCTTGCAGCTTGCCTATACAAGCTTGCCCACCACAAGCATACCAGCAACACCACGGTGCCCGTGCCAGCATGAGTGGAGAGACTAGCAGGGCCTAAAGGGCAATGTTATTCTGCCATATAGAACCAACCTGTTGAGTTGAATTATTGGTGTAGCCATGTATCCTCCAAAGATCTTGATCCTCCTTCTTGTTCTACCTTTAACTTTTTCTTCTTCCAGATTTGCCATGAGCAAATCCTTTGCTTTGAATGTTGAGCTTGGCACCATATGGCGAAATAATCCCTCCCTCCTCCACAACATTTCTCCAGATGATAACTTCTCTTTGCGCATCATCCTCCCTATGGATGCGTTCACGACTTTTATTAGTGGCTCGTATGATTCTAGCATTCCTTCATTTGCCTGCGGCTTCTTCTGTGCAGGCGCTGTGGCTACCTGTGATGACTACATCTTTTCCATCTTCTTTGTCAGTGTTTACAGCTTCAAAGATGTAGTTTATTTAAATTCGCCTGAGGTGGTCTGGTCTGCCAACCGTGATCGCCCGGTCAAAGAGAATGCTAGTGTTCAACTTACTGAACTTGGGGATTTGGTGCTCTTTGACGCTGATGGAACACTGGTTTGGTCTACCAATACTACGGAGAAGTCTGTTGCTGGCATGAATCTTACCAGCACAGGCAACCTGGTGCTGTTAAATCATGCGAATATGGAGCTCTGGAGGTCTTTTGATCACCCAACTGACACACTTGTCACCGGGCAGGTTCTACAAGAGGGGCAGAAGCTCATGGCAAGCACCTCGATGACAAACTGGGCCAGTGGAAAATTTTATCTCACTGCCCTTCCTGATGGCATGCATGCATTTGCAGGAACTGATACTCCTCTATCATACTATCAGAGCCCCACCGGTGGAACTGTCATGACAAACAGGTCAGCATACGTTGCACTCAAGAATGGCAGCCTGGAGGTGTTCACTTGTTTCCGGGATACAGAGGCACCAGATTACCAGATCCAGCTGCCCAGGGATGACTATGGGCTGGTGTTTGTGAGGCTAGAGTTCGATGGGCACCTGAGGTTATATCAGATGCCAAACAACAGTTGGTTGACTTCAGATGTTTTTGATACAACTGATCCTTGTGCTTATCCTCTAGCTTGTGGCGAATATGGTATTTGTTCGAATGGACAGTGCAGCTGTCCTGATGCTGCCATTGGCCAATCCGGATTGTTTGAACTAATTGATCCAAGGGAGCCTAATCGTGGCTGCTCGCCAATAGATTCAGTATCCTGTGATTCGTCACAGAAGCCTAGGCTTCTTCCCTTCCCAACATCACTCGCTTCAACGGTGTCTACAATTGGACAACAAGTGAAGAGCGATGCAAATTGTCATGCTTGAATGATTGTTCGTGTAGGGCTTCATTCTTCCAGCAGTTTGACACCTCCACTGGTTACTGTTTTCTTGCATCTGACATATTCTCCATGATAGATGCAAATTCCCCAGGTTACTCAAGCAATTTTAGTTCTCTGGCATTTGTTAAAGTTAACGGAGCTACCCGCAACTTTGTGCTATCTCAAGGAAAATTAACCGTTGCATTGGCCGTTGGTTCTTCAACTTTTATTGCTTTAGTTGTTGTTGCAGTGCTTGTAGTTTTACGAAGAAATAGGGCAGGGCCATTAGAAGATGATGACATTATCGATCAGTTACCAGGGCTACCTGCAAGATTTTCTTTTATGGAGTTGAAGTCGGCAACTGAAGATTTCTCAAAAGTGATTGGGAAAGGAGGATCTGGTTCTGTTTTTGAAGGACAGATTTGTGATAGGCAGGTTGCTGTGAAAAGATTGGATGGCATTAATCAAGGGAAAAGGGAGTTTTTAGCAGAGGTTCAGACTATTGGAAGCATCAACCACATATATTTGGTGAGGCTAATTGGATTTTGTGCTGAAAAGTCGCATAGGCTTCTTGTCTATGAATACATGCCGAATGGATCTTTGGATAGGTGGATTTCCCAAAGGCACCAAGAAGCACCACTTGATTGGAAAACCAGATTGAGGATCATCACTGATGTAGCAAGGGGACTGGCTTATCTTCACAGTGACTGTCGGGAAACAATCGTTCATCTAGACATCAAGCCACAAAATATCCTTTTGGATGAGCAATTCACTGCCAAGGTATCTGACTTTGGTCTTGCCAAGCTAATTGATCGCGAGCAGGGCAGTGTCATGACTAGATTGAGAGGCACGCCAGGTTACTTGGCTCCTGAGTGGCTGACATCTGTGATCAACGAGAAGGTTGATGTGTATAGCTTTGGCATTGTCATCATGGAAATTATTTGCGGTAGAAGTAATTTGGATTACTCACAGCCTGAGGAAAGCTGTCATCTCGTCAGCATGCTGCAGGCCAAGGCCAAAAATGACCAGCTGTTGGACCTTATCGATCCGCGCTCCGCTGACATGCAATGCCATTTGGATGAAGTGTCGCGCATGATGAATCTGGCAATGTGGTGCCTGCAGGTTGATAGCCGTCAACGGCCTTCAATGACTGAAGCCGTCAAGATCCTGGATGGTACAATGGATGTTGAAACCGAACTTGATTTGGACCTTGTAAACATAGACCTGATGGTGGCAAATAGAGCAGTTCGCGGGAAGACTGCTGCAACTCTGCAGATAGACTCCGTCCTTTCAGGGCCAAGGTGAGCGCTAGCTCAAGGTTGGAACATGATTTTACATCTGTCCTGTGCAGCATCATGATTTATTTAGATCCTAAAGTTGTGATATAGATCGCCTCCTGGTATCAATAGTTACACAGTATAATGGGTAAAAACTGTACTTCCCGGGTTACATTATTATTTTTCTTTCTGAACACTGTAATTGCCTGAAGTTTGATATGTATGCATCTGTGGTGAGGTTCTAATCATCTCAGTGAGCTCGGTTTTGCTTAACCAGGCAACTCCTTGTCGTCTACAAATGTTTCGGCAGCATTCTTCGTTATATTAGCTTTCTCGAGGATTCTTTGTTAGCTTTTTTTGGCTAAAAAATGGGTGGAAACACCTTTTTTTCCTGAATTATAAAACCTAATTTCGTGGGATTGACGAGGTGGATCGCCAGCCCGCCAAGCCCGACTTTCAAGAGGTTTCCAGCCCAAAGCAATCAAAGACAGTGCGGAGAGGATCCCTGGAAGATCAGCGCCTCCGCATGAAATTCCGTCCAAAGCAATCAAAGACAGTGCTGTAAAAGGCAAACCCGTTGCGCCTAACAGGCACACGTAAGCCTTTGCTCCTCTGTTACCGCGCGGTGCGCGGTCCAAGCTTTGCATTTTTTCACATACGGGCGTGAAAAGACGTGACCCAACATGCGAGTAAAACACAGCACCGGCGGTAGGTAAACAGCAGCGGTCGCGAGGCGCGATGCGAACAAGACAGGCGGTAAACGCAGGCAGACATGGGCGCGCGGCCCCCAAAAGGATCCTTCCCAAATCCCGAGGCAGCAGCAGCAGCGGCAAATTTGATAATTTTGACCTTGGACGAAATCAATTCACGGAATGAACTGCCGGTGAAACTATTTCACGGCACCGACCCTTTTGTGTAGCGCGTGCCACGCAGGCGCCACACCATACGGTGCAACGCCCAGCTCTGGGGCGTTGCACGCCTGTCCACCGTGGCCGCCCTTGGGCCCGCACCCAGTAGTGCAGCGCCTCCGAGCTAGGCGCCACACATGTAATGTGCAGCGCCCGGCCCGTAGGCGTTGCACTGTGACTTATCCAGCGGCTTGGCCCCCCTCCCCCACTCCTCCCACCCCATACACCCC